CTGTCCGTCCTCCTTCCCTGCCCGACCGTCCTCTTCGCTTTCCCTTCGGAAGGCGGCCTGTCGGGACCACCACCGCCGCCGTCCCTAACGCTCCAGGGCTCCAGGCGGGAGACACGTGTCGCTTCTGCGGCGTCCGGGTCTGAGTGGGTCCCCCTCGGCTGGTTCTGCTGCATGCTTCCTCGCGTTTGCATCCACTGCCTCCTCCTGGGACAGCCACGGTCACTCGTCCCCGGGACCGCTGGACAGCTCCTGACCGGCTCCCTGGCCCCTCGGTCTGCGCGGATCCCCCCTCAGCCCGGCCGTGCGCTTCTCCCTGTGCGCACAGCCGCTTACGAACACGTGCGTCTGGGATCGGCCACAGTTAGTATCCTGAGCTTCCTGTGTCCGGGGTGAGGGGCAGGAGCCGTGTGCAGGGACTTAGCGCTTCCTCTCAGTCTCTGTTCGCGTCCTTTGCGTGCTGCTGGGGCAAGTTTTCCCTCAATTCCACTTGTTTTTCAACTTTTGCTGTGAAGGATGTAGTAAACATTTATTAGGCTGCACATCCAAGCTGTGCATGCTGTGCTACGTCTGTTTGTTAACGATCTTAAGTTATTTTATTGTTACTGAGACAATAGTCTGTGGAAACTACAAAAGCCTATCTTGCAGACAAGGACAAAGGAAGACTTTTACCAGGCCCTTTCCGTTTGCTCTGGGCCTCTCAGGACTGCGGAGCAGAGAGCCCCGTGTCTGCCTTCCTCTACGATGGGGCACAGACAGCTGCAGGGGCAGGGCAGGGCAGGGGCCGCGGCGGGGGCGTCCCCAGATCGGGCTCACATGGGGTTCCGGTGCATTCGGGTCCAGCGTGCAGAGATGAGATGCCAGATGTGCCCAGGAGTGAACGCAGACTTCCCCCACCCACAGTACTGATCACGTCGGTCTGCAGAGAGCCTTCTCAGAAACTCACGGAAGCCCGGAAGCCCAGTGACTGGAGGGTCCTGTCAGCGTCCAGCCAGCTCTGGTTCCTGATAAAGGGGTGTTGTTCTCAGGGAGCCTTGGGCTGGTCCTGCTTCTGTGAATGACTTAACAGCAGGAAGTAAATGGGATGGAATAAAATTGCAAATAGTAATTCTGACGCACTCTTGTACTGCATCCTGTGAGAAAAATCCACAATATAGAGATGACAGTTTATCTGGAAAAATGTGTATGTTACGGTTGTGGTGTTTTTTCCTCATGGAATCTGGAGTCCACGTCCGGTGGTGGTCTTTTACGTTTGTATGGTGCCCGTCCAAACACTTGCTCTTCTGTGGTCCTGTCGCTGACCCCAGTAAGACAGGTGATGGTCAGGGTCTCTTATCATCGAGGAGACAGATAACGGACCCACTTTAGATGAAGTCCAGGATTCTGGACCAGACTCCGTCCTGAGCTCCTTGACGTGATAAACAGGAAATAACTGATTTAACTATGTAACGCGTTACAGAATCTAAATTGTAGAACTAAATTTAGGGGCTGGGGGAATGATTTTGCTTTGGTTAGAGAGCGGGCGTCTGGCTTTGTGAGGCTGTGGCTCAGCCTTCACGGTGACACTGACCCTGCAGGTCCTCTGTCCTGGAGCAGGTTATTGAGCTCGTCTAGTGGAACTGAATGTGAGAGATGAACAGAAGCCACCATCCCCACAATCCTGCCCTGTGTGAAGGCCTGGAGGACTTTTTCCAGAGGCCGTGGGTACAGGAGATTCCAAGGAGCCCAGGGTCAATGTGTGGGCTGAGGAGGAGCGCAAAGGAGGGTCAGACGCTGACTTAAGAGGAGAAAGGAAGGACAGACAGCAGCCAGGCCTCCTCAACCCTACTGAAGCCTCAGGAAGACCCCGGGGTGCAGCCTCGCTCGGGGCTCCACTCCCTTCAGTCCTGTCGAGTCCTGCCTCTCTGTCCGGAGCCGGCTTCCCGCCTCGCAGTGTGTCTCTTTTCCGACAGGAGCCCGGGGTTCAGGGAGAAGCCCTGCTTTGCTGCATCTTTGAGCTTCGTGCGATTACGTTTCAACCTGCTGAGCTTAGTCCATCCCGTGAGAGCAGGACGGCGCCGCCCGCTCGGGCCGGAGCAGGAGCTGAGGCACGTCTTTCACGCCCTGCACGGAGAACTTGGGGTGGGGATAGGGCCTCGCTGGCGGATGTTGGTGTTGGAGAGCTTCTCCTCGCCCAGGCCTTTCTCTCCCGGGTCAGACGTGTTTCTTGCGGTCCTCTGTCCTGGCGCGTTGCGCTGTGCCAGCTGTTGTGTGTGTGTTTCCTGTGTTGTGAGGGCAGGAGGCCCCATGGCCCAGTGGCAGCCTGGGGAGTGCAGGCCTGCAGGGCGGCTCCTGAGCGCGGGTGGGGCGTCTCTGGAGGTGACGTGCTAGGTCGACGTTGGTGCAGCTGAATCTGTCTCTCCATTTGGGCAGAGGGAATAATCTTGATCCAGGTTGGGGTGCACTGTGAACTCATGTTAATTGTTCAGTGTGGTCCCTGGAGAAAACAGCTGTCTGTGAGGGAGCCCGGGCTTGATGGCGGAGTTTAGAAACTGTGTGTCTGCGCCCCGGGTCTTGTTCCTGGAACACTGTCTTACATCCAGTGAGTCTCCCCCTGCTGTAGAGACACGGGGCTTTTTGCTTCGTGACGGGAGGGGCTTCCTGGCAGGGCCCTGGGAAGCCCCCTAGGACGTTGTGTGGTTTTGACGGCATCTCAGCGGGGTGGCACTGACCCAGTTGAAGCCATTTCAAGAAGCGGCTCCTCTCCGTGAGGGTGACGAGGAGCGTCTGTTCTGTCCTCTGGAGTGCTGGCGAGGGCCCTGTGTCTGAGGGATGCCCTGAGCACCCAGGCAGCCTGCCCCAGGAGGGAGGTGTCATCTGGCCTTCTGGACACCGGGCACTCGATGCCAGAGCAGCGGTCTAAGCCGGGGGGTCTTATGAAGACCGGACGGCAGCGAGGCCGGGTGAGGCAGACACGTGTGGGTGCAGCTCGGGGAGCCGCAGCGGGCGGTCCAGATCCTCCTGGTGAGCGGATCTTCCATGGGGTCCTTATTTAGTCTGCAGTCCTTGTGCTTCGGAACTTCCAGTTGAGCCTAAGTGACAAAGTAGATCTTACCCCACAAAGAGGTGATTCTGAGGATTTCAGTGTGTGCTTGGGGGTGTCTTCAGGAAGCTGTGCTTTGCTTGTTCTGTGTTCGGGAGAGACGGAGTCTTGAAGAGCAGGACCGTGCATTTTGCTCCCAGTGCCAGCGGTTCACCCACCCAGCCCCCTTTTCTGCTTTTACGTAAGTTGGCTTCCAGCGCCCGAGGTCCCCCCTCCCCACCCCCTCATTGTTCTGTGACCAGCTGCAGGGATGCCGCCTCCTTGATCCCAGCACCGGGCTCTGTGTTCTGACCCCACCACTCAGTGCTTTACTGTGAGCAGGCACTTAACACCCCAAACCCCGGCTTTGTGCTCTGAAGAAACGGAAATAATAATGGTAATATTTTCTTCCAAGATGGTTGTAAAGGTTAGATTAGATGATACTCCCAAAATACAGTAGGGGACCGTACCTGGCACGTGGGTGCTCTGGGACACTGCTAGAACAGAGCCGGTTCCTGCCCTCCCGCCGTGTACGGCCTGGCCAGGGAACGAGACACGTCAGTACGGACGGGGTCAGTGTGCGGGAGTGGTGACCTGTGGCCGCGTCCTGGAGATCTCGAGTGAGCCCACACAGAGCATGCCTCCTTACTCACCGTTGACCCGCCGTGTCACCAGCCGAGCCCGGGCTGCGTGGAAGTGGGGTTATCAGACCGGGATGGGGCAGACAAGCGGGGTCACGCACCAGAGGGGCCGCATGGAGGGGCTGGGCTGTGTCTTCAGTATGGAGTGGGCGTGTTGAACAGAAGCCAGACACAAAAGTGGATGTGGTACAGGATTCCACTTTCATGAAGTGTGAGGTAAGTGAGCTGGTTGGTGGCAGTGGGAATTGGAACCGTGGTTTCCTGTGCCGAGGCCACTGGTTGGGACGAGGGACCCTCCGCACCTGTGGGGGTTCCCCTGAGCGAACGCCCGAGGAGCTGGTGCACCCAGCACGAGTGCGGTGTTTGCTGTCACGTCTGCTCCTCCTTTTGTATATACTTGTGGAGGGTGACAGTGAGTGGGCACGCCAGGTGAGAACAGGGGAGGTCGCCTCTGAGAGCCAGAAGGGCAGATAGGAGAGGCTGAGTTCCAGGGCCGAGAGAAGCTGGCCCCGTGCGGACGGACGGGTGGACACGCCGGGGGTGAGGATGGGGCCACAGGGACAAGGGAGAGACTTAAAGTGTGTCTGTGTGGTTTATTTAATTACCGTCCTAACACTTGACTTTCCAGATCAAATCTGGGGTGACTGTATTGTGTAGTGCTTGCTTATCTGAAACTTTTCATCCTTTAATTAAAGAATTATTTTGTTTCATGTAATTATAAGCTTGTAATTGTATAAAAAGTCTTGGTTTCTTTTTCCTTAAAATTTTTTTGGCTATACTCATTACACCATTTTAAGCTTTTGAGAATGGTCTGCAAAGGATCAAAGAATTTCTATTTCAGTAAGGCTCATATTTGGCAATATTAGTTGTGAGAGGAACTAAACAACCTTAAATATGTCAAGTTTCTCATCTTTTCTGGAATGGGTTGAGTGTGGGGGGAGGGGAAGGAGAGAGACTGATTGACTAGGATTTTTTAAAATGAAATTACTTTTTTGAAATGTTAAACATCAGATTATGAGTGTACTAAATATCTTTTTATGATTACAGCATGTTAGTGTAATCAGCTTTTTATTAAATCTTTAAGTGTCATATGAGAAATTCCACTTAATCAGTAACCCACCAGATTCATTCAGAATCTTTTCACAGTGACTAGTTTTGGTTTCCGTGACTGTCTTGTTTCAATACCCCCACCCTCCTTTCCAAGGCCAGCCTCAGGCCTCTCTGAGAACCTCCCGTTTCTGGGCATGGCTGTGATTCCAGAACACACTTCTCTGTCTCAGTTGCTGTGCCTCTGTGTTTAGGAGCGAGCGGGCCCGCTGGATCACTGCACTGGGACACAGCAGCGGGAATCGGCCTCTGGACCGCACCTGTGAGTACCTTCGGGGCGCCCGCTCTGGGCCCTGGGGCCCGCCTGGGTCGTCAGTGCTCAGCCTCCTCTCTGAGTTTCTCCAAGGTTCCCCTCCTGCTGCCCTGTGTCAGAACTGGGTGGCCCCTGCTGTGGAGGTCGAGGGGTGTGAATTCAAATCCAGGCACAGTCCTCGTTGGGTGAACGTGCAAATGTCTGCGTGTCCCCTGAGCCCTTTGACCCTCTGCAGGTCAGGTGCATCGTGACACACGACTCGGCGACCCGGGAGGGTGGAGTTACATAATGCACGCCAGCCCGAGAGCCTGGCTGGGCTGTGAGGCTCTGGAGGTTTAGCTGTGTTAACGGGTGGTGTCGCAGGTTGAGTCTGCTCCAGACTGACAGTCTGATCTAAGCAGCAATGTGTTTTTAACCCTAAAGAAAAGCACTTCACCATTCCTTCTGCCCTTTGTCATGAACGTGGTCGTATTGACAAGATGCATCTTGTTCTCCCGGATAGCTGGGCGCTGGGCGGTAGAGGGTGGTGTCACGTGCTGATGTCAGGCTTCTCTGGATGGTTCTCGCTGGGAGGATCTCTCGCTGGGAGATGAGGGCAGCGGGCTGGTTCTCCTGGAGCCCCTGAAGTCATAGCTTAGCGCTAAAGCGAGAGTGATTGGTTTGAAAGTTCCCTAGAAGCAAGTTTTATATTAGAAACAAATTAAGAAAGCAGTCATGTCAGTCAGAACCAAGCCTCAGCAGTTAACTGTCTTCTTAAGATCCAGCATTTTGGGGGAACTCTGGAATGTTCCCTGGCTTTTGGGTGGAGCTTCTTCGTCTCTAACCGTTGGCAGCTTTCATGCGCTGCTGCTGGTGGCAGGGAAGGTCCCTGATGACAGCGCGGGTTTCAGCACAGATGGTGGCCCTGGCACTTTACCTGATCTGCCCTGCCTCAGTTTCCCCAATGCACAATGGCGGTTTTCCAGTCCACTGTGTGACATGACTGATGACTCCTTATCAGGCTGTTATCAAGGGGATTCATACATCGTAAAAGGCCTCTTGATTCTGAGCTTCTGAAATTCGAACGCTCTGAGCCAAGTGAGAGAGACTGGAAGTACTTTCCTGCTTCCTGCCGGGCCCGACCTGTTTCTCTCAAAGCGGCCCTGACTGCACAGCAAGACTGAGTAAACCAACACCCCTGGTTTATGCCTGTTTCGTTGTTCCTCTGCTCCCGGAAGCTCAGTCTGTCCCCTTCCTCCTCAGCGCTGACCCAGGTGGAGATCACGCGATCCTTTACCGCCAGGCAGCCCGATGAGCTCTCCCTGCAGGTGGCAGACGTGGTCCTCATTTACCAACGTGTCAGCGACGGTGAGTGGGAGCCTTCTCACAGGCGCCAGGCCCTGCGATCAGGACTGGGGCTCTCATTTCTGTTACTCACGCTCATGTTCCGTATCCCTTCGGTTTTCTCATGTGCTCCTCTCTCTCCTGTGTACATTTTATTGTTTTTAGATGTTTTTGAATAGGAATGCAGTCACATGGTTTGTTATTCAAAAGGAACCATGAAAAGTTTTCCTTCCTTCCCAGTCCCCCAGGGACTAGGCTTTCATCTCCAGAGGTTCTTCCTTCCTTACTTGAAAAAAAGAAATCATTTTTCCTGCTGCCCCTTCCCAGAGCATCCCCTCCCGCAGCTCAGCCCACGCTCCCACACTGTCGGCCGCCTCACTTCAGGGCCTCTCATCGTGTTCTTCCCCTGGTATGTCATTCATTGCCCCTTGAAACCTTTCCCTCTGGTCCACCTCTCTCTCCTCACCTGTCATCATCCGTGGTTCCCAACCTGGGCCAGGATGCTGCCCCTGAAATTTGCTCATATCCTTCTGGAGCCAAGCACAGTCAAGATTCATCCAAATACTTGTTGCTTCACAAGGACGCTGTTCTTTGCAGGCTGGTACGAAGGGGAAAGACTGCGAGATGGAGAAAGGGGTTGGTTTCCTCTGGAATGTGCCAAGGAGATAACATGTCAAGCTACGATTGACAAGAACGTGGAGAGAATGGGGCGTTTGCTAGGACTGGAGACCAACGTGTAGCCTCTCCGATGGCCTTCTGTTGCTGCAAGATTTGCACTACATCACGGTGGGCTGGTTTTGTTAATTTCAACACAGCCTGTTTATTTACAATGACGACACTCGTCTTCAAGCTTGCCAGGCAGTTATGCTCTCTCAGGAGAACAAAGCTCAGTGTGTGACAGGGATCCTCCTGCACCCTCTCCGGGTGTGAACAGCACGGCTGAGTCCACTTCAGGGATCGGCGGCCTCAGCTCCTAGTTCACCATGTTCTGGCATAAAAATGTGTGTAAGATGCTGTGTCCTGGTGTCCTCTGCGCTCACTTAACCAAGATCACGCTGTCCCTCCTTCAACGTCTCCTCTCTGGTTCTCCCAGTATTAGCAAGACCGTGTCTTTAAGGAATGCCCAGTTCTGTAGACCTTTTTCCTGCCTCATGTTCCAGCTCTGATTCTAAGGCTCTGTTGGTTTTCTAAGGACCTGGCAGGGTTCTGAAGGTGAGCTGTTTTTCTGAACCCTTCCCAGGAAAGGAAAATTGACACTTGAATTTTTGTACCTCTTTCCTCATTGAAGGGAAGTAAGGAGCCTTAAAGAATTTTTTTTTAAATCCACCTCACCCAATATTGGTCTTGGATAAGCATAGCCTCATAAAACCTAAGCTACTCTAACAACATAGGATGTAGATGGTTCACATGTGTGGGAACATCCTGATTATAGGACAGGGGTCCTACTTTTTAAAAATATTCCTGAATGAGCTGATCAACTGACATGAGGCTGCTGTGCCCTCAGTAACGCAAGGGTTTTGACTGTTCCTGCTCCTGTTTCCACCCAGGAAATTGGCTGAAACGCACTAACAATCTCAAGGAAGGTGAAGGTAGGCCGTCAAAGGTGTCAGGAAGCCAGCCCGGCACCTAATGAAACGTAGCGTTTGACCTTACCGGGGCCCTTTTTATTTGCACTAGAGGCCTTGCTTGCTGGATTGGAGTCTCAACCTCGGGTGTCTACGGACCTTCAAGGAGGGAGAAAAGTCATTTGAATAGTATGTTTCCTGAGGGGACGAGGGCTTGGAAGGCTGGGAGCGAGAAGGGATGTTCCCTGGCAGCCTAGTTCCCCGCCTCCCCCCTTCTCCTCCACAAAGGGACAAAAGCTGGCAGGGGGCACGTTGTTCTTGTTCGAGGGCTCAGAGCTATGTTGACATGTCCCAGTTACTCTGGGCCAGCCAGTTACCCAGGTGGAGAATCAAGTTGTGGAAGCCCCGGGTGGGAGGTAGGCTTGGCTCACACGCCGTGTCCCACCTCGGCAGTGAGCCAGCCTTGGCACTGGGCCCCTCGCCCGGATGGCTCTCCTTTATCCACGCATCATGCATCCATTTCTGGGTGTAAGAGCCACACCAGGCCCTGAGTTCCTGGGGTCTGGGTCAGTCCAGGAGATGTCTGAGGTTGGTGACACAGGAAGTCTGTCTCTCCTTAAGGTCTCAGACTTTCTGGAGGAGGGGCTAACAGTTCGTAATCTAATCTAACGGGAGGTTTTCATTTAGGAAGGAAGGTAAATTTGTTGCTTGCAAAGGGATCATTTTGTATTATTTTTGCTAATACCCAGTTGAAGCTAAAAGCAACTGTACGAGTCCTGTGAATTAATTTATAAGTAGAGATGTTAACAGTTTTGGAAATTTGTGCATCTTATGAATCAAAGCCTTATTTAGCGAGCAGGTCAATACTGTTACTAGATGAAGCATTATTTTACGGCAGGCGTTTACCACATTCACAATGTTTAGGTTCAACCGTGAATTGTTGTTTTGACATGACACAGTGTTGTTTTCAAACCTAGTTCAGTTTCTATGAATCGCTTCTCTGAATTGTACAGTGACTTCACTCAGTAACCTGTGGAGAACAGAAGTGTTCATTTTTGTCCCTATGAATTGAGACTGCTTGTACACTTTTGGTGAAATATGTGAATTTATAAAGATTTTGTATATACTTGTGGTTTTGTGTTGATGTGATTTAGTTTACTGTAGGATGTATTCATTTAAGTTTAGAGTTTGCTGAATTTTGGCCAAATCAGAGTTCTACTCAGAAGGAATCTGTAGCTAACACTGAGGTGAGTGATCCTCCCTCTCTGGGGACGTGTTGGCGTCAGCTGCCCTGGGAGGCCGGAGCATCTGAAGAGCCGGGCCATGCTGCTTCTACTGCTTCTGTGAAGCTGCCCGACTCCGGGGCGGCTGAGCGTCAACAGTCAGGGCCCCTGACTGCCGCCGCCGCTGGAGCCCATCTGAGCCTGTGTGCTCTGGGAGCCTCACGCCCCGTGAGCCTGGGGGAGGGCAGAGAATGACTCCTACAGTAGCTTTCTCTGCTGTGTAACAAATTTCCACAAACTTAGTGGCTTAAAACAACCCTCCTTTATCACCTACAGTTCTGCAGTCGGAAGCTCGGGACGGCACGGCCGGGTTCTCTCCTGGAGCCTCACAGTGCCGCCGGCCGCCTTCTCACTGGAGCTTGGTGTCTCCCTCCAAGCTCATACCTGTTAGATGTTCAGAATTTGGTTCCTTTTGACTGTAGGACTGAGGGCCCTGTGTCCTTGCTGGCTTCCAGGGGCCGTTCCTGTCGCTCCCCACGTGGCTCCTTCCATCTTCCAGGCAGCTGTGGCACATTAAACCCTCCTCACACTTGGAACCTGACTCCATCTTATGCTACCAGCTGGAGAAAACTCTGCTTTTAAAGAACTCATGTAATTATGTTAGGCCCATAGGATAATCTCCTTTATGATTAACTCAGAATCAACTGATTTGGGACCTTAATTAGATCTGCAAAATTCCTTTGCTACATAACATAACATAATCACAAATGCAACACCAAGAAGACAGAGATGATGGGGTCATCTCAGAATTCTGCCTACAATACCCTCTATAAAACCTTAAAATGCTAGATGGTGTCCCAGCATCCTTTGCAGCTAAAATACAGCCATACAATGGGATACGCCAATCAAAGGCATCATTTGTTGGCTTTTCGCTCGAGCTAGTGTTGGCTTTTCGCTCGAGCTAGTGATGGAGGAAAGAGATGGGGTACCATCTCTGGAAGGGACAGGATGCATCCTCCTCTTTGCTCCATCCTCCATCCCAAATTACTGCTGCATTTTTCCCAGACTTGGAAGGCAGCAGAGGGGCAGAGCTAGTTGGTGGACTCACAGTGCTAATAACACAGGTCAGAGTTAGTGCCCACTGTCATCTCCTTATTGTGGAGGGTCCACAAACAGCTTCCTCTGGAGAGAGGATGTGAACCTGGAGGACCTCAAGCTCTGCTCTTTGGGCCCCAGCACACCAAGGTCCTGACAGAAGGAAGCAAATCCTCGCTCTGGAGGAAGCTAGCATCATCTTAGTTCTCAATTATTTCCAAAACGAAGTGCTCAATTGAAAGGTTCAGGAAAAAAGCTCTGAGACACAGCATCACAATGGAAAAACAGTACACTCACAGGGACTCTAGTTGTCAAAATCACCAGAGACAGTAAAACCACTGTAATTGCTACATTTACGGAGATAAAGCCAAACTTTCAAGTGCAATACGCAACTAACAACTACAGGAAGTGACGGAGGAAAAAAGGACAACTAGAGATTAAGGAACTGGTTTAACACCAGGTTAGATAGTTAAGGGAGATACATATCCGTGTGCTGGGAGCGAGGCTGGCAGGAGCCACAGGAAGTGTGGAGAGGAGGATGTGGGAATTTACCTGGAGTCTCAGAGGAGAGGGGACAGAGGGGGCTTTGGCGGTGGGCCTGGGCCTTTATAAATATCCCTGCTCTGACCACTGGGGATGCAGGCTGTCCCCAGGAAGGAGAGGTGGCTTTGGGTAAGGCCTCCCGTCAGCTGAGGACAGTCCCTGTCCCTGTAGAGGGCTGGCGGGTGAAGGCTGTCATCTGGTAGCACTTCCAGCAGCTAAGGGAACGAGCCCCTCAGCCCTGAAGGAGGATCTGTGCAGAATGTCACAACCTTCACCACATGGGGCTCTGTCAGTGTTAGACAAACAGCCTGTAAGACAAAAGGTGTGACAGGGACAGAGAGAGCCTGCATGAGGATGAGTTTCACTTAACCAGGAAGATACAACAGTTCCAAACATATAGTCTCCCAATAATATGCTCTCAATATATATAAAGCAAAATTTCACAGAAATATAAGAAATCAATCCAAAAATCATAGATAGCATGAAACTTTAACACACCTCTCTCATTTGATAGGAAAAATAGCTAAAAATAAAAGTGTAGAAGATTTGAACAATAATACAGTAGGCATATACATTCTTTTCAAGCATACACAGAATATTTACAACATTTGACTATTGCCTGGGTCATAAAACAAATTTCAACAAATTTTAAAGGACTGAAGTTAGCGAGATCTCTGATTACAATAATTAAGTTAGAAATCAGTCAAAAAAGTAAAAAAATATCCATTTATTTGGAAACTTAGACCTCAATGTAAAATGCAAAAATATAAAACTCCCAGAAGATAACATAGGAGAAAATCTATGTGATCTTGGGTTTGAAATGATATTTTAAAAACAAGACCAAAAGCATGATCAATGAAAGAAAAAAATGAATAAGAAGAACTTGATTAAAAGACAGGAGAATGAAAAGACAATCCACAGAGTAGGAGGAAATCTCGCAAAATAGATCTGATAAATGACTGTTATCCAAAATACACAAAGAACTCTTAAAACTCAACAATTAGAAAACCTAATTAAACAATGGGCAAAGATCTCAGAAACTCACCAAAGAAATACAGATGGCAAATAAGCATATGAATAGATGCTCAATATCATACATCATTAGGGAACTGCAAATTAAAACAACAGTGAGATACCACTATGCACCCACTGTAATGGCTAAAACCCAAAGCCCTGAGAACACCAAATACTGGTGAGGATGGGGAGCAAGAGGAACTCGCTTTCATTGCTGGTGGGAATGCAAAAGCCACTGGGAAGACAGTTGGGCATCTTCCTCCAGAACTAAACACACCATATGATGCAGCAATCACACTC